AACCTTCCATGATAAAGAACAGACTCGTAGAACAGTACAGGGAACCCAGGAACAAGCCCACGCATATACAACCAACTGATTCTTGACAAAGGCACCAATGACATACTAAGAAACAACAGCCTCTTACATGAGGTGGTGCCAGGAAAATCAAATATCTGTGTGCAGTGAAACTTGGCCCCTATTTCTCACCCTGTACAAGAAGATCAACTCAAAATGGATCAAAGACCCTAATGTAGGACTTGAAACCCTGAAACTATTTGACAAACACTTAATACATTGGTACAGGCAATGCTTTTCCAGACAGCGCTTCAAAAGCACAGGAAACAAAAGTAAAAAATTGGATACATGGGATCACATCAAACTGAAAGTCTGCACAGCAAAGGGAATAATCAATAGAATGAATAGACAATGTACAGAATGGGAGAAAATCCTTCTTGTTATTCATCTGACAGGGTTAATATTGAGAATATATAAGGAAGTCAAAAAAATTAATAAAAAATAATTCAATTTTAAAATGGGCAAATGATCTGAATAGACAATTCTCAAAAGAAGACATACAAATGACCTATCATATGAAAAAATGCTCAATATCATTAGCTATCCAAATTGAAATTATAATGAAATACCGTCTCACTTCAGTTAACATGGTGATGACCAAAAAAATAGAAGATAAAAAAAATCCCCAAATAACAAATTCTGGCAAGGAAATAGAGAACTTTTATGCACCGTCGGCGGGGATGGAAAAACTACAGAGGTTCTTTAAAGTATATCTAGCATATTATCCAGGTATTCCACTCCTGAGTATATACTCTAAGGAAATGAAGTCGGTATAGAGGTACCTGCATACCCATGTTGTGGCACCATTGACAACAGCTAACATAGGGAATCAGCCTAGATGCCCATCAACAGGTGAACAGATACTGAAAATACGGCGTATATACACAATGAAGTGTTTGGCCATAAAGAAAAATGAAATTTTGTCATTTGTAGCAAAACAGATGGAGTTCATCATGTTAAGTGAAGTAACTTAGACACAAAAAGACAAGTATCACATTTTCAATCTCAGGAGTGGAAGCTACAAATCAAATCAAACTAAAAAGGGATTAGCGATTACTAGGGACTGAGAAATGTGCCTGGGATGGGGTGGGGAGATAAGGATCTATACATGCTGTATGCATTTGTGGAAAAATCACAGTGAATCTTATTAATATGTACCATTAATGTATTAAAAATATGAAGTCTGAAACAAAAATTAAAGTAAGCAACATTAATTTCCAGAGTTTCAATAAAAAGCAGTTACAGTTACATGGCCTATCACTCCATCTTTAATATTTTTTTAGATGTTGATGGACTTTCTTTTATTCATTTATTTATATGCAGTGCTTAGAATTGAACCCAATGCCTCACACATGCTAGGCAAGTGCTCTACCACTGAGCCACAACCCCAGCCCCATCACTCCATCTTTCATGTTTGCTGATCACGGTTCAGTCTCATCTCACTATCTGCCCCTTCTGCCCCATACTTGGGTAAACTGAGAAGAAAGCCTGGACTCTCCCTTCTTTGGCACCAGTGGGAATTTCAAACCACACAAGCCCCTGGCCACAAACCCTGGTGCACCACAATAAAACCCTTCAGCCAGTCTCCTTTCCTTGTCCTCCCAAGCTGCCCTGCTGGCTAGAAAGTTTCAAATTTTCTTGGGGTCTGTGTGGTGCCATAAGTCTCAATATCCAAAACCAAATTTTGTAGGCAGTGGGGTGGCCCCATCTTTTCATAGTGGGCCATGACCCAGCTGTTCAGAAAAAGTTAAACTATGAAGAAAGTTACAGAAAGGGAATTAAAAATGTTTAGTTAAACATTAAAAGGTGTTTAATGTCACTAGTATTCAGAAAATCCCAACTAAAATAACAAGATGCTATTTCATCTTTCATATTGTGAGAAAAAGTATACACTAATGTTTAAGAATAGTTAAGATAAAAGAGTCATTCTTTGTCCCTACTGGACAACAGTGAGTTTAATTGGCAACATCTGTTTTAAGGGTTGAAACAAGCACGCCCTTGTCCACTTTGTATCTTAAACCCTCGCACATCTGTAAAATGTGTGTACAAATGTTCATGCAGTCTTATTTGTAATATTGAAAGACTAGAAAATATCTAATGTCTACTAGTTCAGGAATGGTAACAGATTATGATTTGACACCATGGAATAATATTAATAAGAAAAAATGAATCTTGAGTACTGACGCGAGCAGATAGCCTAAGATACAGCAGGTACATGAACAAGAATGCTGCAACACAGAAAATGTTTGGAAGGAAACAGCAAATAACCCATTACCTTAGAGAAGGGGAGGAGGAGACTAAGAGAAACACTCACTTTACTTGTTTCAATTTATTATGTGGCTGTTACAAATGTTCACTCATGGATTATTTGTGTATTTAAGATACATTTAAAAAATATTTAAATAATGGCTAGATTCCCAAACCAGCTCACAAAACCATTTTTTAGCCTTAAGCAGCTAAACATTTGCTATGAAAGACAGAAGACAGTGTCACTGAAGTGTGAGTAACACAACAGAATGGAAAATATTTTTATTGATATTGTTTTATTTTGAAATAATTTCAAATTAAATAAATGTTTCAAGAATAGTACAAAGAATCCCAATCAAATGGGAATCAAACTCAAGATTTGTTAATTGTTCTAATTCTGTCATGTATAGCAAAACGGCCCAATCCAAGATCACAGGTTGCATGCAATTATGTTTCTCATCTTCTTAAATCCGGAGTATTCATCTTTCCTTGATTTTTATGACATTGAACATTTTTAATACAAGGCAGTCATTTTATAGAATGTTACTCAATTAAGTTTCATCTCTTATTTCCTCAGAATTAGACCAACTTTATGATTTTGGCAGGAATATTGCAGTGGTGGTGATGCTGTGTTCTTCTCACAGGCAGAACATGATGTTGATCTGTCTTAATTAAAGGTAGTAGGACTTTCATGGCTTGGTTAACATGGTGTCTGTCAGGTTTCTTTAGTGTAAAGTTACATTTTTTCTTTATCATTAACAAATATTATTTTGGAGGAATTATCCTATTTTTCCACCCACTTTCCTCCACTAGTTTTAGCATCTACTGGTATTTGTTGTCCAAATTATTACTACATTCGTTATCAAATGGTAATTTAAAAATTATATTGACATTTATTTGTTGATATTCTAAGAATGAGATTTCCCTTCTCCCTACTTATTAATATAACAGTATGGATTCATGGGTACCTATTTTATTTAATTACTATCATTGCTTTTGATGCTCAAATTACCCTTGACTTGGTCTGTGTAGGCCCTTTCAAGTAGGCTTCTCTTTTTGATGTTCCCATTTTTTGTCAAATACTTAATTTTTCTGGCACAGAAGTATGTCCAAACATTGAGATCAGCCATTTCTTCAAGGAGCTCCAGTTTGTTTAGCAGGTAAGAGTATATGAAATCAAAATCTAGGCAATAGTTGTGCTCTTTGCTTCCCAGGCTATGCGTTGCTCCTAGTCATTGTTTAGAATTAGGAAATATATATGTACAAGACACACACACACATACTGCTCCACATGTATATTTGTAAACTATGTAAGTATATCTACATCTGTATCTACGTATATAAAGATATACGCACACACACACATACACATAATTCACACAGATGTCTCCAATTCCAATTCAGTACTACAGGGTTATTCCAGCTTTGTTTCCAAAAAGTTTTATTATTTTTAATTAACTATATATATGTATATATATTTATGGGATACAGTTTGATGTTTTAATACATATGCATTATGGAATGATGAAATCAGGCTAATTAGCATGGCTATCACTAAACTGTCACTTCTTGGTGGTGAGAACATTTAAAAATCTTCTCCAGGTCTTTTAAAATATACAACACATTTAGAATCAATTTTAATCACTTTTCTGTGCAATAGAACTTATAAGAGGTCTAACTTTCCATTTTAATTTTATTTCCTTCTCTATTCTCCATCAGCAAGAAACCTGGCCCCCATACCTGTAATATCTTTACTTAATTGCTCAGTCCTTCCTATAAACCCATCTCTTCGTCTCCCTCCCTGTGCTGTCTTCTGTCCTGCTTCTGTGCGTGCCCACCCCTACCATTCCTGTCCACCTAAAAGACTGTCCTCTCTGTTCCTCTCAGCTTGCCCTGGCACCAGTTGTTGTAGCAGGCTGTTGTCAACGTGCCAGCCCCACTCTGTGTTGTAGACTTTTGAATTGAATGAATGGAAGGAGAGGGGTGGAATCTGGCAGTTAAAGGAGGAAGGACGAAGGAAAGATGAAGGAAGTAAATCAGTATTTCAAAGATTGAACGTAGGTTTGTGAAGCCTGCGTGATTGTAATTGAAAGATGAGGAACCAAATTGGTCGTTTTTGAGAAAACTCTGAAAGGAAGACTAGTGTTTGTAGTTTAAAGGATCTGTCTTTATATTTCTTCTTTTAATTAAAAACACTTTTAAAAAAAAGATGGGTGGGGTGGTACACCCTGTAGTCCCTGTAGAATCGGGAGGCTGCTGCAGGGAGATCTCGTAAATTTGAGGGCTACTTCAGCAATTTAATGAGGCCCTAACAACTTAGTGAGACCCTGCCTCAAAATAAACAAATAAAATGGGCTGGAGACTTAACTCAGAGTTCCTGGATTCAACCCCCAGCACAAAACAAACAGAAACCTCCACATTTTTGGGGGGGTTGGTTGGTTACTTTTTCAGTTTTTATATGGAAGCAATATGAAGAGGAAAATTGTGGGGAAAATTTCCTGAGACAAGTAGAAAGGATTTTGAAGAAAAAAGTTAGTATGTTAAGGCTACAGTGTAAATATAAGGAAAATCCCAAAGAGGAACTAAGTAACTGAGGAAGCCAGAGGAGCAGGAGAGCACACTGGATTGCTGGGTCTGAATTTGAAGAATGCTCATCGTGACCACTAGGTGGCAGTAGACACCCATAACAGCTTGTTTTTTGTTTTGTTTTTTTGTTTTGTTTTCCTGTTGGAGCAGAAAAGCAGCCAGGAAGTTAAAGGTCTGCATGTTGAGTATGTAAGTATTTCTTACTTTACCTTTGTTTCTTATGCTGTACTAATACTAAATTTATTTTCACTTGTATCTCACCAGAGATGAAACTTATTCAAAATCCTCTTTTTAAGTTTCCCAGCAAAGAGTTAACATCTAATTTGATACAAAATTTGAATGGCTATTTTTAGACTTTTGGATTAATAAATTCTATTAAAATCTATAAGGTTTGGGGACCTGGGTTTAGTTTTTTTTTTCTTTCTCTTTTTCAGTTCAAATAAATATGCTCTTGTACTCACTCCCTGCCTTTTAAAAACATTTATACTTTGCAAAACCATAGTTCAGTGTTTGCAAATGTCTTACCTTTGCCTATATTTAATCTTGGCAAAAATCACTAGTAGTGCATGACATCATGACATAAGAGAGCATCTATGTACAAACATATACAATTTTATTGATATCTCTACAGACTACAAGAATTTTAAGTATAGTCACAATTGCTGAGTGCAACAGAAAAATAGTAATTTGTCATTTTCTGAAAAGATGCAAAAATTCTGAAGATGAAAGATACATCAATGGTGTCATCTGTTTCTTATTTCCTAGAATAAAACATCACATAATTAAGTACTAAAAATTATAGGTTATTAGAGATTTTGATCCTGTGTACAATTGTCCAAAACCACCACCAAGTTTATTTTCTGGCTTTGCAGGTGAGAAGGGTGGGCCCAAACCAGAGGAGAAGCAGTGTCAGAGGAGATGACTCGCAATTTTTTCTCACTATGTGTTACTGCCCTTGATAGGTTGGGCTCTCCTTTTTGAATGTATAAGTGCTTTTGAGGCCACTGGAGGTCAGATAGTAAATTACAGGCATTCTTTTCCATTTAAATACATAATAACCAAGAAAATAAATCTAAGTGGCCTGGGAGCTTTTGATTGAGACAACAATCAAGAAGGAAGAATTGTTTTCCCTTTTTGTTTAAATCAAGTCCAATAAAATATACCTATAGCAGAACAGGTACCTGGTACCCATGTCTCCTCCAAAAGAAGAATGAATAATAAATTTGGACCCGATTTAGTAATGATTACTTTGAGAACTTCTATTGTCCAAACATTGAGAATCAGTTTTCCATTTAGCTTCACATGCTGTTTAATTTACCGTGATATTTCTGGTATCTTGTTTTGTCACATGTAGAAGACAATCAAAAACTTGGTATGTTTGAAGTGAAATAATTTATGGGCAAGTCACATATGAGAATATCATAGAATTATTAAGAGGTAATGGGGCACTGCCTAGTCAGAAACTCACACATACTTTTATTCTGTGAGAGGCACAGAAAAAGTATCAATCCAGTTAATATTGTATCTCTTACATCTGCTTTCCCAGACACTGGAAGGCTGGGACACTGGAAAAGGAAGACAAACATGTCTTCCTTCGATGGTCATAACGCTGGTCATAATCTAGTAGTTAGCAACTGTGGCTGGACACTGGAACCACACTGGGTGCTTTCAAAAATACTGATGTCTGGTTCCTACTCCAAGCAATTTTGATATAATTGGGAATTTTAAAATATCAAGTAATTATTATGTACAGCCAAGTTTGAGGATCCTCCTCTAGATAAATATATAAATAAAGGTATTTGTCTGTGCTTCTGTTCCCCATCAAAGCCTCTCCCGCTTTCCTCAGAATCCATGTCCCTCCCCACACACTCATGCACCACAATAGCACTTCCTCCTCCTTTTCCAAGTTAGACCTTACCTACCCTGAATTTCTTCCACTCAGGGCTATGTGGTTTGCAAATATGCACACTTAACTCATTCTGTTGACAACGATGCCCTCTGGAATGGTACATGTTGAGATGGTGCTCAATCTAAGCCCATGACCACTATTTGTGACACTTAGAGCACTGTGCACATGAAATGGTACCCATCTAAAAATGGAGTTGGGTGATGAAGACAGGTGAAGAAGCTGTGAAGGCTATCACATTTCTCCTAATGCAGAGAGCAAGACCTGATATGACCTGCTGACTCCTTTGGGCATTGTCCTCTCCGAATCAATGTGTTCAGGGCATAGTATTCTTTTTTCCTATGGGGCAGCTTGTGGTCATTTAGATATACTCTGGGTTGTCCCAATAATCCTAAACCAAAGAGATGATTTTTCATTTACTTTTCCAACCAATTTCATCTTTTCCTCAGTCCAAACATTTTATGGTCAAATATGTTAAATAACCTACTTTAATCTTCAACTAATTTCAGATCTATTCTTACTCTTTTCTCTCCCAGAGTTATGTAGATAATGGGTACCTTTAAAACTGCATATATGTACTATATAAAAAGGATTTTTTTCCCTTTGATTCTTTAAAAATTTTGTGGGTACAGGCCTAGGCCTGGATTTGACTTAATGAGAATCAATTCCGATAGATTGAAAAAGATTGTCTTTATGACTGAATTACTTGAAAACATCTCGCTTAGCTCTGTCACTGTCCTACCAAAGCCAAAGTGACCCTGATGGTGTCTGGAGCTCAATGAAGGAAACAAAGTCAGCAGTACTGTTTTTAAAGGGGATTAAAGTAAATGATAAATCATTCATTCTTCCTCCAAAGTGCAAGAAAAATGGAAAATTTACACGGTAGGGATTATTGCTCACATTATTCTTAGAACTGGGAAACAAATACTTCCATCTTCTCATTGACAAATAGAATGGAAAGGCTCATTTTCTGCTGGAACACTAAAAAGGGTTTATGTCTTGAGGAAGTCATAGGAAGGTAAAGTCAACTTGTCAAGACTGTAGTTTGTTTAGTCTTATCTTCTGACGCTACCTTAGCAGATACAATGCAGTTTTCAATTTTGATGGTAACCAAGGCTCAGGGTCATCTTCTGTATCTTTGTATTAGTTACTAGGAATATTTTTCTTAAGTTCCAAGACACAGGAAAGCAGAGAAGATGCAAAAAATTACATGGATCAACTGTACTCATTTTCCTAAGATGATGATAATGATGAGATGGTGGTGGTGAGTGCATGTGCGCGCATTGTTTGTGTGTGTGTGTGTGTGTGTGTGTGTGTGTGTATGCCAAGGTCAGTGCAACAGAACACAAATGTTCAAAGAGAAAAATCACATCCATACTAGATTCTTGTTATTGCTGTCTCTTTGAATTACAAAATAATTTTGATACAGTAAAACCTCATTAATTGAATTCTACTAGTCAGGAGCTTCTGGGATAAAGTTACCTTGCATTAAGAAAGGGCTTATAAAAACAATTTTGTAAGGACATGTAAACTACTTAGAAGAATCTGGTCTTTTTAAGCACTTCAGTAAATAGAAGTACCTGTTTACTTCCAAAGGATGTGCTAATTATATAAACTTTTGATCTATTTAATGAAGCTAGTGTTTTAAGCACTTCTATTGTGAAATGCTACAGTGTCCTTTTTGATATTTTCTTAGTGTGCTTTAAAATATGCTATATTTTTTCAATGATTCATAAAGCGTTCCTCAAAATTGTATTTTATTGCTTATGAACCACATATGTAATTTTGGGCATAATAATTTACCTTGCTAAGACAATATGTACTTATGAAATTCATTTTTATATGAGACATATATCACATATTTCACCATCTGTTTCTTTAAATGATGTATAATAGTGGCTCTCAACTTGGAGCAATTTTGGCAATGGCAGGAGACATTTTTGATTGCCATTACTAGGAGTTCTTACTGGTAACAGGGTTGCAAAAATCCTATAATACACAGGACAGTTCCCCCAAAAGAAAGAATTTTGTGCTAATAGTGCTGCTGTTGAGAAACCCTGATATACAACAGGTTAAATCGTGTGTGTGTGCGCTAGTGCGCACGAGTTTGCTGGAGTTTGAACTGAGGCCCTTATTTATAGTCAAAAAGTGCTCTGCCTCTAAGCTATAGCCCCAGCACAGAACGAGTTGGATCTTACTGGGAATTTCAGTGATATTCTTTAATTTAATGCTGCTATGAACTTAGTGTTTTATTCATTCCTAAAATAAATATGTCACTCTTTTATTTTTAAAATGTATAAATGATAAAGTGCTTGTCTAGAAAAAAACAGAAAACTGGGTCTTTGAAACTGACGGTACATACAGTGTGTTGCAATTTGGTGCCAATATTTTCCAGATCCTCACCTCAAGTTTCTTTATATTTTCACTTTATCATTTTATGTGTTATATCTATATTTCCAAGCTAGGTTTTGTTACCCTATGGCTATTATAGGAGTTTGAGAGATTAATGGAGAGGCTTTTTTTTTTTATGAAATCAGGAGAATTCAAGGATTCTGAGAAATGCTATCCTAGTATACATTTTCTGACTCTTTCAATAATCTTTGCTCTTTTCAAAACCATGGAGAATATTTTAAAGGAAGCACCACTTCTAAGCAAAAAAACTAAACAAATACTAGTTTTGGCTTAAAATATACTGAACTCCAGGAAAATGGTAAATTCTTAAACAGAAATGTAAATCAGTAAGACACTGATAAGTAAAAACCCAACAAGCAAATCTATAATATTTTTAAAAAGATTCTTTTTGAAGGAACAAAATATAAATTATAAGATGGGTCCTAAAGTGTGTGTGTGTGTGTGTGTGTGTGTGTGTGTGTGTATACTCCCATGACTTTTGACTTCCAGAATCATGTTAGTGATGGCTAGTGTCTTTATTTTGTTTTATCTCTAGTACTTCTCTGTTGAATCATGATTGAGAACTTTTATCATGTTAAGTATATTCTTTGCTCCATTGAGAGTTTTTAATAACCAATAGGTGTCTGGTGTTTATTAGCTTAATCAGGTAACTTATCTTAGTTGACCTTATTAGTGACAAAATTGTTGATTATTGATATGTATTTTGTTGTTCATAATGATGACTGAGGCCAAGACTGCAAAAATATCACTATATTTTAAAAAGATTTTCATTAATCATATTGAACCAAAAAGTATTTTCTAATGAAAGCCCTTATTAACCAGAAATGTAATAAATCAGAATCTCTTTCTCAAAACATTAACTGAGGTTTTACTGAATCACACTAATGAGAATGACCAGTTTGGTCTGTGAAAGTCAGGCTGCAAAAGCACCTTGGATTGTAGACCCTACTGGGTTTGAACAGTAATATACTGTGTAACTGACAGACAAGGATACAAATGGAGCTTTAAAAATATATCACTTTAGAAACTGAAATTGGAGTGTGTGAGATTTTACCCTTTGTGAAATCAGTTCTCAAAGCTAACTGCATTGTTCCCATAGTCTATTCCCTAAACCTGTCATCAACTCCCCTGCAGAGTACAAGTCAGGCTGAAAAAAAATGCTTTAAGGAAACCCAACCCTATATGGTTTATGACTAAAAATACAACCCATTCTGAAGGTGACAGAAACGGAAATAATTGTGTTGGGAATAATTTACTATACTGATAATACTTGATTATGACTAATAATTGTGAATGATGTAAAATACCAAGAGGGAGAAAAATGTTAATCCGATACCTGTCATAGAATTCAATAATGTCCTAGTAAAATGAAAATTACAGATGAGAACTCTGGGCTTTTGTTTTCCTTTTCAGTTGGGTATGGCAAATATACTTGAAATGCATTAATGTCTTCTAATGCAGACTTTTAAATTGTTGGGTGTGGCCCAATTTATAAAAATAGTTTACCATAATTCTTTTTTTCTTCTGTCACAACATGCTTTTTTTCTTTTCCTCTTAAGATGTTAATTTATCATGCAAAGATTTTTTTTCATTAAGTGCATTAATGCTTTTGTTTGTACAGGAATTTTCAAATCAAAAGGACTTCCCGTAGTTCCTAAATGTAAATCCTTAGCAAATTACATGCTAAGATGATAGCTCCATTCCACATGGGAAAAGACAAATTCAGCCGTTATCTTGGGATTTTTAACCAGGGTTCCAGCCTTTGGGTTGTACAGCGTCTTTGATAAGTCTCCTTTATGATAACTTCAGATGGATTGTGATGGAACATTTTATAGAAGAAACTGGCTTCTAGCAGTTGAATAGTGATGCTGGGAATAAATTTGGTTTCCCTGAATAATGGTTTCTCAAAGCAGGCACAGCTCTTCTTAGGGAGTTCAGAATTGGTACCATTTCTTATCCTTATATTTCAGCATTAACTGCAAAGAGAAAAACAGTCATCAAAAGTTGCTTAAAAAATCAATGAAAGTTCTATTTAAAGCAAGCCCAGATTGAGCTAATCATGACTAAGTAAATCTCAAAACTTACAATAAAACTTGTTTTATTTTGTGGGATGAAGTGCATGTCAGAAAGAGTTTTTTAAAAAATAATATTTATTTTTCAGTTTTTGGTGGACACAACATCTTTATTTTATTTTTATATGATGCTGAGGATCGAACCCAGCGCCCTGCACATGCCAGGCGAGTGCATTACTGCTTGAGCCACATCCCCAGCCCCAGAAAGGTTTTTTTTTTTTTTTTTTTAAAGAAAAAAACCAAACGTACATTAAATCAAGATATAAAGACTCACCTGACAGGAAATGATTTTAACGACCTGAGACAAAACGGAAGGTGTGGATTCCAGCCTCTACTGCTACCCCTCCCACCTTCCTGTGGGGCTTGCATCATCTACCTACACACTTTTTAAGCAGTTGATGCACAATACAGATCAGTGTATTAGAACCAATGGATAATTTTCTTTGATTATCCCTTGAGGTAAATAAGTATTTATTAATATATTTTACAGTATTTAAAAAAGTATTTCCCCAAAGTGGGGGAAATCATAATACTTGGTTATAGGATTACTCATGTGGCATCCTGTTTAAGCTTTCTTGAACAGGACTTACAGGTCTCCTCACTGGTGGTAACTTTAAACATTTATGTATTTAATCAGCTTACCTCGTGCGCATGTTTGGAAAATGCTTCTGCGCTGGTCATCATGCCTGCAGTCTTCTCTTCCAGCTCGCCTAGTCTCTGTCCTCTCTCATCAAGTGCAATCCGGGCGCGGGTCAGCTCTCCCATGACACCTCCAGCAGCGCCTTTCATCCCTTCTATACCACCTGGTCCAGGAATGTGCTGGGCAAGGCTGCGAGATGCTTTTCCTGCTGTAGCTTCCCCAACTGGAAATTCAAGACATAGCAATAAAAAATTCTGTCAGCAATTCAAATAGTCAAGGTTGTCGCCAAAACAAAATGCTTAAATTCTGCTGTCGTAATTTTCACTGGAGGAGTGATAAGAAAGAGAGAGACAGGGAAATATCATATGTCTCTATGTGTACACGTGTGTGTGGGTGTGTTTGTGTGTGTGTGTGTTTGTGTGTACATGTGGTGTATGGCACAACTGCATTTCTTGGCATGGCTGAATTGGAATTCTGAAAACATGAGACTTAACGTTTAGCCCATACTAATATCTGTTCCTGTCTGAGCCTGATAATTTGCTTACATTTCTGCCCAAGTCCTTATTCCAACCTTCTCTGTTCACCCTGATGTATCAGTTTGTAGGCCTCAGGTTCTCTCTCTTCCCCTCTTTATCCCTCTAGAGAATGGGCTATAAGTGATGGATATCAATTTACATATGTTGAAATTTTGTGACTTCATAAACGAGTAAAAATTTCCCAGTCAACTACAGAGTTTAGTTTAATTCTATTCTAAAGAGACAAAAAAGTTTTTATTAAAATCAGCTGTCTTGGCAGAAATTTAGTGAATATTTCTAATGATATAATATTGGAATAGAATCTAAAATTTTAAAAACAAGAGGCTTTTTGAGATATAATTCACATATAATAGAATTTTCCTTTTCAACAAAAAGCATACAATTCAGTTGTTTTTAGTGTATGCACAAAGTTTTTTGACTATCAAAACTATCTGATATTAGAATTTATTATGCCACAAAGAAACCTTGAACCCACTAGTAGTCACTGTTTATTCTATTGCTGCCCAGGCAACCACTGATCTATTTTCAGTCTCTATGAATTTGCCTATTCTGTACATTTCATATAAACGGTATCATAGTAGCTCAGTGGTAGTGCACTTGCTTAACATGTACAAGGCCCCAGGTTTGATTCCCAGCTCTTCAACAATCAATGAATCAATCATACAATATGTGACCTTTTTGGTTTTCTTGGATTTAGCATGATTTTTTTCTAAAGTTAGAACATGTTATACATGTTGTATCATGTATTAATATTTCATTCTTTTTTGTGGCCAAACAATATTCTACAATATGATAGCACCTAGATATTTTTGCATAGTTAAAAGTTAAAGAGAACTTTAATATGTGGAACCAAATGGCATATTCTGGAAAATATATTCTCATTTTGTCTATAAAAATGTTCTCTAGTATCTTTCTATTGATTTTTTATTATTGTTCATCAGTTTGCCTGATAAAATTTTAAAATAGTTTATTCTGTGACATTGATAGACCTTGCATTATGAATTTAAAAAATCTGTTTCCCAGTAGTGATTATAGGCAAGCAGATTAAACTTTGTTTTTCCAACTTTAATAACTGAATGTCTTCACCTTGTCATGCAGATATGCTCTACCTACAAAAGTGAGACATTTATTAGCTGGCTTGTTATTTATTTGAATTATACATATCATTTTTACTAAACTATTTTCTAATATAAAGTGGCTGATTTTATTCATGTTTAGAAAACATAAATAATTTTCATGGTACAGAAGGAAACAAATATTCAAACTTTTAAGATAGAAGTAAGATGGCAAGGATATTGAAAAAAAGGTATATACTATTGATGGGACTATAAATTAGTACAACCACAGTGAAAATCAGAATGGAGATTCCTCAAAAGACTAGGAATGGAACCACCATATGACCCAGTATTCCATTCCTTGTTTTTTATACAAAAGAACTAAAATGAGCATACTATAGTGGTATATGCATACCAATATTTCTAGCAGTGCAATTCACAATATCCAAGTTGTGGAACCAGCCCAGCTGTCCATCAATAGATGAATGGACATAGAAAACATGGTATATATATACACAGTGGAGTTTTACTCAGCCATATAAAGAATAACGAAATTATGTCATTTGCTTGTAAATAGATGGAACTGGAGAACATTATGTCAAGTGAAATAAGCTAGACTCAGTCAAGTTTTGAATGCTTTTTCTTATATGTGCAAACTAGAGAGGAAAAGGGAATAAAAAAGGGATGTTATGAAAATAGAAATGAGACCAATAGAGTACAGTAAGGGGATGGAGAGGGAGGGAACAGGGGAGGGCAGGGGGGGATGGACCACTATTGAAATCAACCAAATTACTGCTATGTTCATATAGAAATATAAAACAGTGAATCCCACTTTTATGTATAATTATAATTCACAAATTAAAAAAAAGAAGGAAGACCAGTAAGGGTAGACGATGGGGATCAGAAAAATGTGGCTATGTTTGAGAATTCATATAGATAAGTCTTTCATATTCTTTTTTTTAAAAAAAAGACAGGAGGGAAGTAATAGGGAATGTACTGGGAAATGAAACTGAACAAACTATGTCATATGCATGTGTGACTGTTACACGAATCCCACTGCTGTGTGAAATTATAATGTACACACACAAAATAATAGAAGAAAAAGTACGTAACCTAGAATTTGAGATCCCATATTAAACTATACACACACAATATCATGTCTTCCATTCTGAGATGCATTTCTGTAATTAGGAATTTACTCACAGAGCTCTTCTCTGTCAAATGTTTGTCCACTTCCACCGAACAGTCCCTTAAGAAAGCCTCTATTCTGAGCTTCTGGTGTCTCTATAGGAGTAAACAAATCTCCTAGCATGTCCTGTACCAAATTCAAAGGAAAAAAAGCATTATAAAACTAAGAATGAATTAACAGATAAAAAGGTAACACTGTGGTAAAAGAGTATATCATGAAAGACAGTCTGCTTTTCCTGCTGATTTTTGCTTTGCTCACAGTTCTTACCTTAGCATTTCTTTCTCCATTTTCTTTCCTTCATTTCTACAGTAACTGATTTTCTAAAATTTTCCTTTTTCTATTTTGTCTCCTATTGATATCTAGCATGGAAAATCAATATATTCACTCTCAGATTAATTTCCATGTATGATCAGTGACTACCAATTTAGATATTTGAGGCTTTTAAAATTACCACAGCCTCTTTCCTATCCTGGTTCCTTTCCCTGAACCATGAATGGACTTCCCTTAGAAATAAGAAGGCTTCAGTAAAGGCTAGATCTATTTTTATATTATACAAAATTATGCCATAGTTAAAAATCATTGAAATAATTCAAAATAGGTATGGCAAGGTCATTCTCAGTATTTGATGAGTCTTAGAATGACTGGGAAAATATCAATGCAAATCATCTAAAATTACTAAATCAGAATAACCTAGATTTGCTCTGGTTATCTTGCTTTTCAAGTCTTTTTAAAGCAGCACAACATTTAAGAACCATCAGTATGGAGGAAGAAGCCAAGACCAGGAGGCATAGGTTTGTCAATGAACTTCCAGTTTGACTAACTTCATCATCTCTCCTCACCAGCCCTGTGTTTTTCTTCCTAGAAGTCCTACTCTTTGGAGAGAGTAGCACCCTCTATTCAGTTTCCCAAGGCAGAAAAAATTCCTTGCTTTTCCTCTTCCTATGACTAATAACCCTCAAAGCCAATGGATTATACTTTATAGCTCTTGAATCTGCTAACTTTTCTTCATCATAACTGTTGGTTCCTTTATTTTGGGTCAATGCAATTCTTGAACTTTACTGTAAATAGACTCCCAATTATTCTCCACAGCTTCAGTTTTGCTTCCTCAAAACTAATTGCCATACTATCAACCAAATCTGTTCAAGTTTTTTTAATGACTTCCTGTTTATCCTAAACTGAGCATTTAGGATAAATGCTCAGTTCCTTATGGATCTTACAAGGTGCTCCCAGAGCTTTTCTTGACTAATTCTCCAGCACCACCCCTCAAATCTTCACTTCCCAATGCTGAACTTTCTTGGCAGTTTCCTGGATCCTGAGGATTTCATACCTATACCACTACTGTTTAGGATATCTACCTTTTTTATTCCTAGCCATCAATTTAGCTGAACAACTCCTACTTACCCTTCAGAGGTCAGTTGTGCCCACAATCTTTCTCTAACTACTCCTTCCTTTCTTTCTTTTTGTTTTTAAATATTTTTTAGTTGTTGTTGGACCTTTATTTTATTTATTTGTATGTGGTGCTGAGAATCAAATCCAGTGCCCCATACATATTAGGCAAGTGCTCTACCACTGAGCCACAACCCTAGCCCTCCTTTCTTCTCATCAACCCAAATGCACTTCTTTTGTCTCCCTAGTACTGGTGTAGATATATACATAGAATTTTCCATAGAATATTTGCTCACTTATCTCTCTACCTAGCAGACAGGGATTTGTGTGCTTATTGTTGTATTTCTAGAACCATGCAAAGTCCAAGACACACAAAAAAACTCCCTAAATATTTGTTGAATAACAATATAATGATCATAATACAAGATTTATATATTCCAGGCACTGTGCTCATTGGTCATCATCAATGACCTGCCTGCTCATTGCTTTATATAAATTCTTACCTAATTCTAGTAATAATGCTCCAAGGTAGCACATACAGGTAGGTTAAATAAAATGCCCAAAGTCACACAAAAGGGGATCCAAGCATAGCACAAATAATTCAGCATTACATTATAATGAATGATTTTGATTTTCTAATTTGTAAAGGTATTGAGCCAGTTAAATCTTGAAGATTCTCTTAAAATTCTGTGACCATTCTTAAGCAAGATTAGATAAGCTTTTATATCTCTCCTGTTTCTAGGCTGTGCTTACCACCATGTACAAAGACGAATATCCAATTCTAATCAGCATGGTTATTTTTGTGGCCCTTGATCAAGATTAAGTTTTTTTTTTTTTTAAAGCCTATGAACTCCCTGAGCTGGATACAAACTTTCATGTGTTCATACATATTTCCCATCTAGAAGGAAATAATTTTTTCATAGACACTGAACAGGCAAATGCAAGCGATAAAATAAAAATATTTAACTGTTAAAATGAAAGATCTTCATATTCTTTCTCTTTCTTATTATTTCTGTGCATACCTAGAACTGTACCAGAAGTTGGCAGGATCATAAAGAAGAAAATATATTAAATATTTGTTCTAAGAAAGGCATATTTATTGTGCAACCCAATAATATTTTAGCTTTTAGACATCCCTTTCATTTTACAACCTCTCCATTTAAAAAAAAATAAATGCACCTGACCTACCTGTAGATTATCACACATTTCCTGGCTGTATGTTAACCGCTGAATTTCAGTAGGAGAGACAAGATACAAAGCCTGTCCTTCATTGGTAAAACAAAATGTCCGTGCTATCCTCATGTCTGTCAGTGGCAAATAATTAACATCCAACATTGGGCGAAGACTAGGTAGACTAAAAGGAAAAAAGTAAATCCACATTCCATATTCAAGTTGAAAAAAGCATTTCCTAACATAAAACAGTAATTTAAAAAACATTATTTTATGGTTATTTCATTTTATTCTCTTGAAGGCTCAGTGTTAATAGGCTTTCACACAAATTCATAAAAAAAATGGGCTGGGCATGGTGGTGCATGCCTGTTGTAATTCCAGGAACTGGGGAAGCTGAGGCAGGAGGATGATGAGTTCAAAGCCAGTCTCAGTAATTTAGTGAGGCACATAGAAATTCAGCAAGACCCTGTCTCTAAATAAAATATAAAAAAGGGCTGAGGATATGGTTCAGTGGTGAAGCACCCCTGGGTATAATCCCCGGTGCCCCTGCCCCCCCAAAATAAATCATGGGAAAAGTTCTATCTTAATCCACAGATGCTTAACAATGCCTTTGAAGGGACTAGCAATCTCTGGGACGTTTTTGCAGCATTCCATGGGTTCTCTTCATATGATTATAGCCTTTGGTTTTGTCAGAAATGCTAGAATGTATCTGACTGCATACTTGGTCTACTATCTTTCTTTTAGGCAGAACTCCTGACTTTGAAGAAGTTTTACCACAGAGTGGGTTCAATTCACTGTGCCTGGGAATGGAGTGGCTTTGCTTTCTCTTCCTTTATTCCCTCTGAAATTACCTATAACTTAGGGCATCTGCACTGAAGGCACAATTAATAAATAAACCCAGCCAAGGCTGTAAGGGAATGAGAATAAGGTATCAATAATAGATCAGAATTTGTACATCCAAATGAATACCACAGATTTGATGTAGTTTACTCCACGGCTACATCCTAATCCTAATGCTGTAGCTATAAATTTGCTAAAATAGTTCTCAGAATTTCCTTTTGGATACTGTTGTTAGAGCCAGTTTTATGAGCCACTGAAGAAAATAAAACTACTTTTACCTGATTTTTAATCATACCTCTAATGTCAAAAGTGGGAGTGGGGCTTGTAATTAAATCTCAAGTTTTAAAATCATTCTACTAATTCTAAGTGTGCTCAATAATTTTAAATGATCCCAGATCATAAGACCAGCATCTCAAAAGATACTGATCTCCCTTATCAAGCTACTTTGTAACTACACTTTTAACCCTCAAACTTTATTTTATAAAATGGCACTTGAAATCTGTGTTATTGGAATAAGCATTTTCCTGAGATTCCAGGGCTACACTGCCCAATATTTTAGCCACTAACTAAATACATGTGAATATTATGCAGTTGATCCATGGCTAGTCTGAATTGAGATGTGTTTTAAAGTTTTAAATTACACTCTGAACTTCAAAGACTTACTAAAAATAAATTATCTGAAATCTATAAAAAAGATATTGTAATTAATCTGTTATAACCCTTCAGGTAGCTAAACCCCTTAAGATATCCGTAATTCAACAAAATCAGCAGATATCTGTAATTCAATCAAATTAATAGGTGGGTTGGGAGAGATTCTGCTGACCTTTCTGATAGGCTACATTGACTAGAGTGTGCAACATAATGAGTCAAGAAAAGAAAATTTGAAAAGGTACAATAACTTTAGGTAGGAAAAGTGAAAGAGCAAGTTAATTGCTAAGGATAGAAAACAATTAGCTTTAAAACTGAAAAGTGCCTTCTATTCAGAGGCACTTTAATAAAAAATAAGAGTCCATTAACCAAAGGGGGTTCTTAAAAGTGGCTATGTTTGAGAATTCATATAGATAAGTCTTTCATATTCTTTTTTTTTTAAATCATTATTTTGTTTTATTTTTATGTGGTGCTGAGGATGGAACCCAGTGTCTCATATGTGAGGGGCAAGTGCTCTGCCACTGAGCCACAACCTCAGCCCTCATATTCGTTCTTTCTGGGTACATTTGGACCTTAACAACCAATCATTAGCTGCCTCCACCTATCAGAAACTAGGACTTGAGGAGACTGGGCTCAGGACAGTTACATTCTGAAAGGGTCTGGAAAGATCCTGGGTATATACTCAGCATGGGAAAGTAAAGAAGACCAGGAACAGACAAATTAGTAGGATTCAGTTCTTCAATCCACCCAGCAGAGTACATATCATCATTTCTTAGCTATACACTATATATTACTAAAATAATGTCAAAATTATTTCTTTTTCAAATATTTTTAAGTAAACTCAGGAAAACATTATGACAAGTTTTCATTATGACATAGTATCAAAATAGCCACTATCATGTAAAGCAGCTTTTACAGAGGGAGACTGAAATATTATTTTCCCAATGACTCCTGATGTTTAAAAGCTTGTTTTTCATTTATTAAGAAATCTCTCACCTCATATAGATGATAGAACATATTAATTTAAATAGAATTTGGAGATATATAGGATAACATCTTAGAAATAATAAAATTTTACAGAAACAGGTTAAAATAATCATCATTAAGCTAAAATTCTGACTGACATAATTAAGATTTAAAGTGAGACAATTTTTGAGTGACTAAATGGTAGCTTAGAGAAGGGGAGTGTGTGTGTGTGTGTGTGTGTGTGTGCGTGTGTGTGTTGTGTGTGTGCATGAAAATAAACATCAAAACACACATAAATGTACAGTTTTTTTTCAAAACTGAGTTAAATGTCATTTTCAAACAAGACTGAAATACCTTCATTGGAAATATTTAAAACTAGTTTGAAAAAAAAGAAAAATCAGACAAAGAGAGAAATGATCAGAAATATACAAGAAAATGAACTGACCACAAAATGATCATTTCTCCCAAGTCTTTATCTCTAAATACTTCCCCATACCTCAAAATTTGTTCATGTCTCCCAAATTTAAAAATAATAAAAATATAGCACTGTCAAAGTCTAGTTTTAACCTTGAACTACCTTCCCGTCTTTCATCTCTCTTTTTTAAAACACAAAATTTGGGGCTGGGGCTATAACTTGGAGGTAGAGTGCTTTCCTAGCATGCATGAGACACTGGGTTCGATCCCCAGCACCATAAAAAATTAAATAAATAAGATAAAGCTATCGTGATCATCTACAACTAAAAAATATTTTAAAAAACAAAATTTTCTGAAAGAATAATCTATAATAGGGGTAAAGGACCAGATATTAAATGTTTTAGAGTCTGCAGTGCAAAAATAGCCGTGACCAATATACAAACAGATGGGTGTGGCTGTATTGCCAAAAAACTGCATTTATAAGTATCTGAATTTCACTTAATTTTCATATATCATGAAGTGTTTGACCATTTAAAAATGTAAACACTATCTGTGGCTTGTAGGTTGTACAAATCAGATATGGGATGGGGTAGATTTGGTCCACAGGTTATTCTTTACCAATCTCTCATCTATATACCTGCCTCAAATTACCTCCACCATGTACCTAAGACTTGCTTTCTTAAAGGCCATTAATATCCAAGTAGTGGCAAGATTTAATGTTTTTCTTGTACCTAAATTTCTTGACCTCTTTGCTATATTTGGCTATCTTTTGACCCCACCTCCTTTTTATTTCATGAAGTTATAATCATTCTGGTCCTTTCCCTTTCTTTCTAATGACTTATTCTCAATCTCCTTTGCTGCATGCTCTTCTTTCTTTCATAGTATAAAATGTAGAGATAGCCCCAAGTTCCTAAGCTCAGCTCAGTCTGTTCTTCATTACTTTTTGTACTACCTTTTTTGATTATCTCAGTCACTGTCATAACTACTAATGTATTCACACAGAAGACTTCCAATATGTTTCTAAAAGTCCAGACTCTATATTGCTTGATAAATTTCTGTTGGATGACATCTATACCTCAAATTTCAAATATTTATTTTCAATTCATTCTCAAACTTCTCATTATCATAACTTTTCCAAATGCGCCTGGCTTTCATATTTGCTAACAGTATCACTAATATCCAAATTAAAAAAATAACCTTAAGTTCTCTTCTAACCCCCAAATTTAACAGCTTCCATTACCTTTCATAACTAAACAGCTTTACACACAGCAAGTTTCCCTCCATAATCCCTCCCAGTTTCCCCTCCATGCCTTTTATATAGTTATCATTTCAATTCAAAAGTCAATCACAAGCTCCCCCTCCACAGATATTTCCTAATGAATAGAGGTTAATTATGTGCTTTAAAACCATATTTCTTCTATCAATTAGTCCTCAACAATTTCCCCCCATCTACCTCTCTAGGTTACTTTCCTCCCAATGACTCTTCCTTTATAATACATGCTTAACTATTCTATGGCTTTGAACTCCAGGGACTGATTTTATCAACAGAAAATTCAATTTCATATTTCCTCTGTTGAATTTTTATATATATATATATATATATATATATATTTTTTTTTTTTTTTTTTACAATTTTTGTGATACAGGGATTAAACCCACGGGGGCCCTCTACTACTGAGCTGCATCCTCAGCCCAATACCTTACCCTTTTTTAAAAAACTAATTTTTTATTTTGAGACAGGGTATGGCTAAGTTGCCCAGGCTATCCTTGAATTTGTGATCTTACTGCCTTAGCCTCCTGATCAGTTTGAGCCTTTGTGCCCAAATTATGCATTATAATTTCTTGTGTATGTGTCTTATTTCCCAATTAGATGGTAAGCTTCTTAAGGGTTAGGAATATATTTTGCTAATTTCTATATTGTTTATAGGTCCAGTACAATGCTTAACCATTTTAATGACTTTTGAACTAGGGGAGAATGAAAAAGAATAATAGTGACTTCTTAACTCTTCTTATTACCTGCTGAATTCATAAAGTTATAATATTTCAATGTCTTACAAATTTTATTTGATTTCACTAACAGTAGGATGAAATATACTGTTGATGAGCTGACAACTTATTTTTAAAGTGTATGATGATTTTTATTATATTTCTCAGTGCTGCCTCATTTTTTCCTACACTTTCAACCTCAAATTCAATTTATTAGCATGTAAAATGAAGTATGCAAATAATACTTTACTTTCATGTGTCCTAGAATAGCAATAAGGATCAGGTGAAACTCTGTTTAATATTCTTATTAGTATATCAAAATAGATTCTACTGGCATGTATAACTAAAGAACCAATAAATTAAAAATATTCTTTTATGAACTATATAGTAAAAGTAACAGCTTTGTTTCCCTGTAGCTTATTCATCTTTTATTTCCAGTGCTAGCATAGCATTTGGAAGCTAAATATACTCAGTAAATGTTTGTTGAATGACTATATGAGTGAGTGGAACATCATTCTTTCCTTAGATTTCTTGATGCCAGTTAAAAATATATATTTAATTCACAGCATTAAGCATTTTTTAAGGAAAAATCCCAACAGAACACACCACAAATCCCCAAACTCTCATCAGATTGTTAAACAACAAAATATTTACAAACATAATTAAACCATGATCTCAGGTTGCTTCTTGATAACATCTTTCACATTAATCATATACTTTTAAGGATTATACTTGCTGGTTTTATTATAATTACCAGATAATTTATAAAGAAGGCAAGTACCTCATTATCATGATATGCCCATTAGCACAAAAGCACGCCAAGCAGGCACTGTTGCACATGACCACCACATTTGCTTGCAGTATAAAAGATGTCTCGGTGATGTTATGAACATAAAGGCAAGTCTGAGAAGGCAGTGAGAAGACTTTGGCTTGTTTTTCTGAGCAAATTATTGTATACTGATGATCTCCTATTTCTTGGGATGAAGAGGAGTAGTTCATGACCAATTTCCTTCTCCAAGTTTTTTCATTTTCATCTATGGTATTTGGATCCCTCCAAACTTCATATGGAGGTTGCATTAATCCGCCAGTTCGGTCCATACAGGAAAATGTTAGTACAGCTCCTTTCAATGAGAGGAATGTACCTATAAAAACAATTTCACATCACTGGCACATACATTCTTTCTAAAAGAGCTTTTAATCATCTGTGGGCAATGAACATTTATATTATGATAATTTGTGTTTATAGTATCATAGTATTGCACAAATATACATATATCAGTAAATTTTTTAGTTCATCCATTGCATTAACTTAGAATCATAGAATATTAGGCCTAAAAAGAACCTAAGACATCAACTTGTTAAATTCTCTCATTTAAATGGGAAAACAGATCCAAGAAGATGATGACAGTTGGGCCAGATCACATAGCAAATTAGTGACTGAGCTCGGACTAGAACTCTGATTTCTTGATTGCTAATTCAGGATTTTTCATTATTTTATATCATCCACTTTAAAATCATTTTATAAAAGACAAATTGAAAAATGCATAACTTTCATTTATTGAAATAATTTCAACAGAAAAATAATTATATCATCTGATTCTCTTTTCTTATTTTATAGGTTCATTTACTAATATATGTTTCTTTTTTCTTTTTCTGACATTGAACATTCAATTAATGTCATGAAATTTCAATATCTGGAGTTCATGCTAGAAATTTTAATTGTATGAATGACAAAAACCTTTAAAAATAACTACCTTCAGCTCTCAGGCAAGCCTATGCATCTGAATTCAGAAAAAGTGTTCATTTACCTGGATTCTTCAAGGCTGATTATCCACACCAGATCACTATTTATTAGTGATTTTTACTGGTCTCAGAAGACTGTATTCTATAGAACTAAGGAGGTAACTTAGGCTGGACTATCCTCTAAACAGTATTCTACTAGCCCTTTTTTATTTTGTCCTTTCATATTATGTAGAGTAAGGGTGTTAACCCAGGCTAATATATTTCAAGTATATATGTATGTATATGTATGTATGTATATGTATATGTGTGTATATATATATATGGTATATAGTGTGACAGATACTTAAAAAGAGAGAGGTGGTAGATGAATACACATTCTATTTAGGAAGTACTTTTTCTTATAATTTAAACAACTTAAAAATTATAAAATTCAAAGTAATATTAGATGATATAACATCTCAGCTGTATTTTTAAATCTACTTGAAAACTAAATAACCTGTACAAATCCTAGAACTGAGAGGATAGGGTTGTGGGGTTTAGGTGCTTAGTATAGGGTCAAGGTATAAAATAACAGCTCTCTCAAAACCCCTTGTATAAAAAGATGCCAAAATGTATGCTACTCTGTAAAACCACATTTTCAAAACTACCTTTTCGTAACTACCTGCTACAAAGAAATTTTTCTAAGTAGTGTCATGGGTTATATAATGGCGTATAATTCAGTCAATGAAGACCATATGTATAATGGAGCTATAAAATTCCTAGCACCTAGTATGCTCCAGCCATCATAATATATTATTCATGTGGTTATGGTGATGCTGGTGTAGATCTACTGTGCTGCCAATTGCATAGGAGAGTAGCAATACAATTATGCACAGTATGTAATACTTGATAATGATAATAAATGACAATGTTACGGCTTTAAGTATTTACTATAGTACTCTACTTTGTCACTGCTTCAATTTACTCAGTCGAAAATGTTTACCAAACAATATGCTGTGTTATAGTGACAGCAGCCTCATATAATTTGTGTTTACTAAGTCTCTTGGTTGCATCAAGAGGCCACATCTGATTGACTGATGACATTAGGTTTGTGTAAGTATACTCTATGATGTTCACATGATGAAACTTCTAGTAATGCATTTCTTAATATAAACTTATGATTACATCAATATAACTATATGAATATCTTTGCATCCTTGATGTAGGCATGGCACAAAGTAGGTTAAAAAGTCAAGAAACCCATATTTTAGAAGATATTTTACTTATTCCCAGTGCTTATACACTGATGGCATTAAAATGACATTTTTTTTTCATTGAACTGCCCTTGTCAAAACTGCTGCTTTGGTTTCTAATTTGTTTCCTATAGCAGACTGATACTAATGTGAAGGTTTCTTTGCATCATCCCATGGTAATTAGGGCTCAAAAAAACCCTGGCTCAAATTACTGCTTTTCTGATTTCTGTGAGTAATAAATTATCCTTTGTCTCTGCCATAGGAGTTGCATACCTTACATCAGCATCTGTGAAACTGGAAACCTACCTTTATTAACTTGCACACAGAGTAAAATCTCAGAATCTATAGATCTTGATTCTCTAGAATGACAAAGGGAAGCCTAATAGGAGATACAATCAGAGAGACAGAGTGGTGCCAGATTATGCAGGTTCTTGTAGGATATGCTAAAGACTTAGACTTTTACTTGGAGTGATATAACTTAAATTTCATTTAACAGGATCATTCTTTCTGATGGGCATATTCTAAAGGGTGTCAAAGTTGGAAAAAAGGAGAGCAGTGAAGAGATTAACATAATGATCCAGGTGGAAAATAAATATAGCCCTCTTGAACTAGGTGTAACAGTAGATATAGTGAGAAATGTCAGGATCTGAGTACATTGTGAAAGTTATGCCAGTAGGGTTTGCTAATAAATTGTATTTAAGATAGGAAAGAAACAGAGATTAAGGATGATTCTGATGTTTTGATCTGAGCAACTTGAAGAACAGCTGACAATGGATATATAGGAATACCGTGGAAAAAAAGAGAACTATCAGAAGCTCAGTTTTGGACATGTTAAGTTTGAGGTGTTTATTAGATAACCAAGAGGATGTCAAATATCTAGATTCCTGTGTCAGGAATTTGGGAACAGGTCCAAACTATAAATATAAATACAAATAAAAACATATGATACATCAGATTATAAATGCTTTTAAAATCATGAGGTTGGATAATTTCTTCTAGGGCTTCAATGTAAAGAGAAAAGAGAAAAAGTTAAAGGAGTCAGTCTTGGGGCATTATGTTGTTTTAAATCCAGTGCAATGAATTGAAAGAACCAATAAAGAAGACTGAGAAGGAACAGTTAGGACCACAGTAAGAAAAACAGATAAATATAAAGGTCTTTAATCTAAATGAGTGTTATAAGGTAGAGAGAATTGGTAATTTATATAATAGATTGCAGATATGTCAAGTAAGATGTGGCCTGAGAATTTACGGTTGGATTTACTTATTAAGTCAGTGATCACCTATATGAAGGTATTTTGTTGAGTATGGGAGAAAGTATGATCAAAATGGGCTCAAAGTAGATTGGGAGAATGAAATTAGAAACAGTGAATATACTACAAACATTTCAAAAATGAAATTTGCATTAAAAAGAAGTGAAATAGGAGAATAGATTCAACAGAGGTTTTTCTTTTTTAGCGGGAGGAATAATGGTATATTTGTATGCTAATTCAGTAGAAAAAGACACATTTATTAAAAAGGAAATAGAGGAAAATTTTCTGGGTTGACATTGTTGAATAGGAGAAAAGGAGTATAATCTAGTGCACAACTGGAGAATTCTGTCTAGTTAGAAGCATAGAGTTTACTAATAGTAACAGGAGAGAATAGGGAGGTCATGGAGATATAGAGATGTTATTTATCCTATCCGGAGCTCTGCGTTACCGGTAATAAGAAAAGTGTAATAGATTAGTAGACAAAAGAGTCAAGTAAGGTTTCATTTGTAGGATCAGCATCACCTGGGAGCTTGTTAAAAATGCAAATTCTCAGGCTCTACCCTAGACCCTATTGAATCAGAAACTCTTGGGTGGGGTCCACTACTAATGTGGTGTTTTGTTAACAAACCCTCCAAGTGATAGAGAGAGAGAGAGAGAGAGAGAGAGAGAGAGAGAGAGAGAGAGAGAGAGAGAGAGAGAGAGAGAGAAGGGTTTTCCTTTCTTGGGAGGTGTTTGATTACTGATTCCAATTCCTTACTAGTTATGGGTCTAATTCAGACTTTATTTCTTCATGATTCAGTCATCATAGATTAAATGTTTCTAGAAAAGTATCTGTTTCTTTTAGGTCATCCGGTTTGTTAGTCCTTTCTCGAGATTCTTTTTGTTTCTATGGAATCAGTTATATAATGTTTTCCTCTTCGTTTCTGATTTTATTAAATGTCCTTTTTTATTAGTTGGTATAGCTAAAGGTTTATCAGTTTTGTCTTCTCAACTAGCACCTTGTTTTGTTAAAAAATTGGGCTAAGGATTTGGGTAAACATTTTCCAAAAAAAAGTTAGGGGCTGGGCTATAGCTCAGTGGCAGAGCACTTGCCTACCATGTGTGAGGTACTGCGTAGATCCTCAGAACCACATAAAAATAAATAAATAAAAAATGGACTTTATTAAAAAAAAGATGAACAATTGGACAACAGGTATATGCGAAGATGCTCAACATCACTGATCATCAAGGAAATAAACACAAATCATAACCATGATGAGATAAAACATCACATTTGTTATGACAGTTTTATTTAAAATCAAAATCAAAAGACAACAATGTTGGTGAAGTGTGGAGAAACTGGAACCCTCTACACTGATAGTAGGAATGCAAAATGGTGAGACTGCTATGAAAAAGAGTGTGAAAGTTCTTCAAAAAATAGAATTAACATGTAAAATTAAAAATGTAAAATTTACAAACAGAATTAACATGTAATCTAGCAATACTGCTTCTGGGTATAAATCCCACAATCAGGATCTTGAGGAGATAGGTACTCCTATGTTCACTGTAGTACTATTCACAATAGTGAAGTTATGAAAACAACCTAAATGTCCAAGAGATGAAAGGATAAAAAAGGAATAGATACATACAATGTAATATTATTCAGCCTTAAAAAAGAAGGAAATCCTATATTATTCAACAATATGGATGAATCTTGAGGATTTATATTAAGTGAAATAAGCTAGTCACAGAAGGACAAATACTGCATGATTCCATAAAGGGAGACATTTAAAATTGTCAAATCCATAGAAACAAAGAATAGAATGGTGATTGCCAGGGGCTTGGAGAAGGGAAAATGGGGACTTGCTAATAAACTAGCATAAAATTTCAGGTATAAAAGACAAGTTCTAGAGATCTGATGTGCAACATTATACCTATGAATAATAACATTGTTATGGTTTGGATGTGAGGTGTCCCTGAAAAGATCACGTGTAAGACAATGCAAGAAGGTTCAGAGGAGAAATGATTGGATTGTGAGTCTTAACCCAATCAGTGACTTAATCTCCTGGTAGGGATTAAATGAGTAGTAACTGAAGTGGTAGGATGCAGCAGGAGGAGGTGGGAACCAGGGGCATAGCTTTGGAGTATATATTTGTATCTGGCAAGTGGAGATCTCTCTGCTTTCTGATCACCATGTGAGCTGCTTCTCTCTGCCATACTTTTCCACCATGATGTTCTGCCTCACCTCTAGCCCCAAGGAATGGAGCCAGCCTTCTGTGGGATTAGACCTCTGAAACTGTGAGGCCTCAAATAAACTTTTCCTCCTTTACAGTTGTCAGATCCTTTACAGTTGTCAGATCCTTTAATCAGAGGCAAAAAACAACCATGGACAGTACCAGTGAGTACTGGATGAAAAATAGATATTTCAGAGAGGGTGAATCCTAGAACAACTATTACAGGTCAGTAAGGGAATGGTGAAGGATAAAATTTTACTTTAAAATTGAAATGGCTTTCATCACCTCTATTTTTTCTTATGAAACTCCACTTTCACTTTTTATGTTTACTACTATGAATTATGACTTTCTCTCTTTCAATGGTAGATTATAGAATAAATTTGAACCCAGCCTCAGAGCTTTCTCCTTTATAATTAATAGACTTTATTTTTAAGAGAAGTTTTAGTTTTACAAAAAATTGAGCAGATGGTACATACAGATCCCATATATCTCTTTTTTCATTTCTCTGTTTTACATTTTGCTTTTGTGTAATATATCTATCATACTTGATGGACTGATATTGACACATTATTATTAACTAAAATTTTGAAAGAATAAAAACTGGCATTGAAACTTAAAGAAAAGACAGCTTCTCATTAAGTTGATAAGGGAAAAATGATAAATATTTTACAAATTAAATGCTAAAATTTAAATCTTTAATTTTTAAAATCACTTTTGGTTTGAGTTTGTTTGCTACAAATGGCAAAAAACTTCCCTACAAAATTGAGAGATCTGTTATATTAGTTCTGGGGATTGTTTATTTCTATCCTTGTGACTTAGAAAACAACATTTGTGCTAAGGTTTTCCTCAGTGCTTTTCAGAAACTTATTTCCCAAAGTGTTGATTAGGTTGGCAGTTCCACAATTTACTACTGCAGCAATGGTAATAACTCTTTTACCCTGAAAAATAGGTAAGTTACAATATGACAATGTTGGAACACTATATGATTTTATGAAGTTCTCAATAGTTCCTATTATACAAAAGATTTAAATACATAACCTTTGTCCTAAATCAATGCAAATTATTGATACTTTATATCTAAATTTGAAAAAGTAGCCACAAGGGAATGAATGAATAAAAACTCTTACCACTTGACAATACCACAACTGGCTCTGTAAACCTCTGTTCATCTGCTGATGGTAGGTTTAGGGAGATGATTAATACCATTCCCAGACTGGTTCCAACAAACAGACAAGGAGAGACAGTAGAGTCATTTTTCCGTGCAAAGGATTCCATGAAGTATAAAGCTGTAATTGCTTCTTTAGAATCTTTGTCAATACTGGAGATACTAGAGCTTCTGGAACGATTATATGAATTCTCTCGGTTTTCTATGGAAATTTAAAAAGACTAAAATGAAGTATCAGTGTATTTACAAAACAAGTAAAGTCAAATTTAATACATGAAAACCAAAAAGTGTGAAAGGAAAGAATTTAATTCTTCATTAATTGACTTGGAAGGTAGTTTATCCAGCTCACCAGCTTATATTGAAGGTGGAGAGACTGAAGCTGGAAAGCAGACTTAAATAGTCAAGCTTATAAGAATTTCTGATACAATTTTTTTTGCACTTCCTTCCTATCTCTCAATTGTTCAAAGTATTCCTAATGATTTATTGCAGTTCCCATGTACTGACAATATTATGGCTACTGACATAAGAGGAACAATTTGAAATATTCTGTGACAAATACATTGGATGATCTGGGGAAATTATGAGTGGAAAAATTAAAATTTTACCAAGGCTTTTAAATGCAAATAGTATTTTTCTGAATTTGTTTGAATCAAATCTAGTTCTAATTTTGCCTAGGACCAAAGGAGCTATAGACTATGCCATCCTGTCAGTGGTGGTAATCTTTCTGACAGGGCTTTAGTCCACTTAAAGGAAAGAGAATGGCCTCAGATCCTCTTGCTTATCAACACTTGCTCATGTGCACACTCCAACAAGCATAAACTCACCCATTTTAATTAAATGTTAATAGTGTTGTACTGTTCTTTTACTGCTCCAGAGTATAAGCTCCTCTTATTTTTCTTTTTACTGTCTTCACTCTTTTCCCTCTTGATAGGTCCAAATGTGCCTCCTAATTATTTTTGTAAAAGAGACTAAATATAGACTCCTCAGAATATTTTCCCATGAAACAAAATATAGTATTCTTAATTTTCCCTTTCTATGTCTCAGCAAATTTATAAGTTTTTCATAAAACTTAGATATTAGAAGTAGATAATCTATTTATTTTATAGATTTGAAGACAGAGACTTAGAGTTCAGTAATTTCCCCAGAATCCAACACAAATTAGAGGCACAAATATCTAAAACTCAAAATTGGCAGTACTAGTAAAGTGATTAAAAGAGTATTATTTCTTTTATAATCCTTACATGTTGCTTCTAGTTTAACCTTCCAGCTAATATATTTCTCCCAAACTTTTAACTGGTGGTTTGTCACCATTATCTGCACGTTCACAGGGCCAGATTTAATACAGCATAATGTTAAAGAAACAAAAATTGAACAATAAGTTTTACTTTAAATATTTTGAAGAATATAGATTATCAAAAATCTTAAGAGGGGCTGGGATTGTGGCTCAGTGGTAGAACACTCATCTAGCACATGCGAGGCCCTGGGTTTGAACCTCAGCACCACATAAAAATAAAAATAAATAAATAAAGGTATTGTTTCCAATCACTTCCAAAAAATAAAAAATGCTAAAAAAATCTTAAGAGATATTAAATAAGGAATTATTCTTAGAATAGCAAATCTTCCTAAAATGATTTTTTCCTTTCTCTCTTGCTAACATTTCTTATTAACAGGAGAGCAGCAGCAAAGTTAAAAGATTCCCCTTTCTTTTCCTTTCTTAACAGCTCCAGTCTTTGGTTCTGGTACTTTATTCCATGGCCCCATACTCATTTCATAAAAAAGCAAACAGACCTTCCTTTTTAAAATATATGAAGATGAAGTTCTAAGCTTGAGAATAAAATATTTTTTCTTGATCACCTTCATTGGACAGTTGAGGAAATTAAGCTTGCAAGACACTAAATAACTATCTACAGATAGAGATGCTAATTTTTATTGGAAGGATAGAGAATAGATTAAGGCATAGGTTTTCTGTTTTATAGAGTGGGTGGATTCTCTCTATAGTGGAATCATTCTCGTTTTAGAGATGACTAAGGAAGTGAGGTAATAAATGGATTTGGAGTTAGCTGCAGCCCCACCAGGATCTCAGTGACTCATTGTCTAGTAGATATTTGTATCTTTTCAATGTGATTTCCATTCCTTGTTCACAACACTTGTTTCCATTGTAAACCAAATTTTATCTGTAACCAACAAAATTGCTCTATTTAGCCTACCTTCTGTTGTTACTGGTAAAGAAATCTCCATGCAAGCAGCTGACTGAGCCTTTCGAAATGGAGGTCTTGCAGGACCCCACCGATTTATTTTTGAAACATCAGCACTAGAAAGACGTTTTCCAGAACTGCAACTCTGAGAAGTTGGACTTGTGCAATGTCCATTTACATGGTCTGTACCAAGAGGAAGAAGGCAGTATAAATATCAAAATTAAATCTTCACATAAAGGAACTGAAAGATGTAGATTAACAAATGAAAAGGAGTTAAGAATCCCTTTTGTTCTGAACCATATAAATATGGCTCAGTCCTTGCTATTTTTAATTAGCAAAAAATTTAAAATATATTTAATTTTAAGGAGTATTTTTATAATTTGACTAACATAGTTTAAAATTTACTCTATGTCTCCACTATGTCCTTTATTATTTAATGGCAATATGAAATAAGTTGTAATCTTGGACTTTTGTTACATAAATTAAATATACTCTAATTTATGTAAGTCTTGGAAGTACTTTTAGTACCTAGAGTTTAAAGTTTTTTAGAACAGGAACATTTTGTAGCTGAGAATGGCAATTAAGAATATTGGGAGCCAGGCTGTCTGGGCATAAATTCTAGTTCTGCATCTTATTAGCTGTATAAATTACTAAAATTCTCCATGCTTTAGTTTCTTCATCTGTAAATCTGAAATATTATTATCTGCCCCATGGAGTTTTGTGATTTGTGTATGTGTACATGTGTATACATATGTGTAATTGTACATGTCACATGCCCAAATACATGCTGGCATACAGTGCACACTGAAAAAATATTATTATTATTACTCTTGTCCCAGAGTATAAAACTGCTCATGTCCAAATGATTACTGTTTATTTAGGCCTTGTGAGTTACACTTTGTTTTGACATAACTGAAAAAAGAACAAAACAAAAAGAAAATAAAAACCCTTGAGGGTGGGGTTATAGTCATGCTAGGGGTACTAACATGAATCAACTAAAAATATATTTTCTTATGTTTCTTAAAGATAACAAATTGTGTTTCAAACATTACCTTATAATCTTGCAATATGCAGAACACATTTTGAAATGTGCTTCTTTGGTCATTCAAAGGATGTTAGTTACATGCAGAAGAATGCTTAATACTACAGTGGACACATGGATCTAGTATTTGGTATGTACTTATAGCTAGTCAAGGGCGATAAAGGAATTTTAATATGTTGGCATGTGTTTTTTTAAATGAGAGTTAATATGTATCAAATATTTAAATAGTGGGAACGTTATAATACTATCTCATTTAATCTTCACAAAAATGCTGCAATAGAGGTGCTTTTATTATTATCATTCTAATAATACAGATAAGGAAATCGAAGATCAGAAAAAAGGATTCAGAAAATTTTCTCTTATTACCTACATGGCAATTAGGTAGGCAGAATTCTAATCCAGATTTTTCTCAGTTAGTATCTGTATGCTTAAAAACTGGAGCACAAGGTTAGCTAAGTATTTGGCAATGGATAACAATTGTAAAGACATATTTAGTAGGGTTTGGGAAGCAGATGTAATATACACTGAGATCCAAGCCTTTTAGAACCAATCACTCCCCATTTTGACATAATATCTCTGGAAAGGCAGAAATATTTCATGATGAGTTAGCCATGGTGTAGCTTTAGTCAAGAACTCTGAGATTCCTCTTCTTTATTAAATCTAGACTTATAAATAGGAAGAATACTGAGGTCAACAGCTGGCATGAACAATTTCGTATGAATTAGAAAATGGCAACTACTGTAGAGGGGCAATGACAACAACATGCCCCCTCTGAACTAGCCACAACCCTGGGTATATCCTTTGAAAAAAACTTCCTTTTTCACAGACATGAGACTCTGCTGTAGGGATCACAGTTTGTTCAAAGGAAAGTGGAATGAATTTCAGCCCTCTTCCTACAAAAGTATGGCAGAGCCTTGAGAACAGGGAAATTTATCCACTTAGCCAGAACTCTTTGGACTTGCTAAACCAAAGCCATACCTGCCTAGTTGTTATCATCTTTTGGTGGTTGTTTCATGTAAATATGTCTCATTTCAGCTCATAACAGAGCAGTATCAATTAATATTACTCAATATACTTTTTCTTTTTTTTTTTTGCCCTATCTGCTGTGGTGGCCCAATTTCCCCCAGCTTCTCATTTTTGATTGGCTTACATTACCACACACAGGCACACCTGAGTTTTGTTTTCAATAGGGCTGATTAACTTAAAAAGACTCTTTTTAGTAGTTGAAACGTTTAAATATATATAAATGAATTTTCATTTTTAATATTTCTATCACCTTGCTAAATATTCAAGATAGATATGAATTGGTATAAAACATTTAGAAAACCAAGCACAATGGAGCATGACTATAATCCCAGAAGCTTTGGAGGATGAAGCAGGAGAATTGTTAGTTCAAAGCCAGCCTCAGCAAAAGTGAGGTATTAAGCAACTCAGCGAGACCCTGTCTCTAAATAAAATACAAAATAGGGCTGGGGATGGGGCTCGGTGGTTGAGTGCCCCTGAGTTCAATCCCAGTACCAAAAAACAAAACAAAACAAAACAAAAACCCCCAAATATTTAGAAAGAAATTTAGTTATAGCTTAGATACAGTCATTCTGGAAATTTATGATAAAGAAATAATGCTAAATACAAAATAAAAATATAAATATCTATTGCTAAAGATATTCACTACAGTGTTAGATTAAAGACTAATTGGAAGCCAGTTATCCTTTACAATCAAACAAAAGGCTTTAGATAAATTGTTGTATATATCCTATACAGAGATATACTGAGTATTATTGTCTTTTAAAGTATTTTGAAGTGCTTATAAAAACATAAAATATGAATGCTATTATGTTTTGGTTATTTTCTGTTGTGTGCACACGCACGCACACACACACACACATACACACACATAAAACAGAACAACAACAAAAAAACCATCAAAGTTGATGTGTAACAATAATAATTTTATTGTGCTAACAGATTCTGTGGGCCAGGACTTTTACTAACTAGGTAAGTGTGGATGTCTTATCTGCATGATGGCATGGGGGCATTAGTTGAGAATGCTTCATTGGATGGGGACTTTGATTCCTTTGTATTCTCACATGCCTGGCCCACAATCATGCAAAGGCTGAGATGGGTGGGAACTGTCAATGGAGGCAGCTTCAAGAGGTTTATGCTTCAGAAATTTTGGGAATGGTGGCCTTAGGGTAGTTGGCCTGTTTCCACAATGTCTCAGGGTTCAAAGGGTCTGGAAAACAATTTTTAAAATGGGATAGAAGCCATTTTTTTCTGCTTCTTTGGACATTGCGATGATGGCTCTATTTGGTTTTGAAAGCAACTTTTCAGAGCCCAGTCAAGAGGCCACTTAGTATGTCAAAAGACAACTATTGTGGTAAATTCCTGATCTTACTTCTAGCAATATGTTCTTAAATTCAACAGTGGATTGGCAGTGATGTTCTGGTTTTCCACCTGTAGTAAAGGTGTCGGTCCCTTAATAATCTGTATATTGACCTTATTCTAAAAGTCACACCTATAAGCCAAGCTTAGAGTCCACATCTCTAGTTTCTTAAGGATCTGATAAGTACATACTTTCTTGTACTAATCTCTTTCTGCATGACATAGCCAGCCAGAATGAATGGCTCCTATTTCTTACAGCTGCTCCCTGATTATATTGGTGATTTAGTCCAGCTGTCATGTAGTCCAGTAATATAACATGTAGAGAAAATTTAACATTCTAAAAATTTCAGCCTTAAAGCAATAATTAAAGTTAAGGGACATGGCTATTCTCTATTTTAGACAAAAATTCTCAAATTTGAAAAATTATACATTAAAAAATATCATTAAATAAAGAAATGACTTACTAAAAATGTCATATTGTATGCAACTGAAGTTATTTTTAAAATTATCCCTTACTAAGGCTTTGTAGAAGACTGCAAATAAAGATTTAATATGAGTTTTGTTAAACAAATTTTTAAATATACATTTCCCAGAAAATTAAAAATTCTATGCCATAGAGGTTGACTCTATGATGAAATAAATGTTGAACTAAATAAAAAATGAGCACTGGATTTTAAAAACCATGAAGATAAATAAAATACAAAACTCTGCACTTAACCATATTAATTATAGCCAATATAAAACAATTGATTCAAATAATTGAAAATCCACATTAACTTTATTCTTGCCCTACTTTTATAGTCAATTATTTTTATCCCTCCTTCATCATTGTTCATGTAATCCTAGTTAGGGGACAAGGAAGTAAATATTCTTGCTTACCCACATATTTACCATTTATAATGCTCTTCATTCCTCTGTGTAGATTCAGATTACCCTCAGAACTGTTTTCCTTCTCTCTGAAAGACTTGCTACAGCATTTCTTAAAGCACTTTATTTTTGGTGCTGGATTCTTTCAGCTTTTGTTTCTCTGAAAAAGCATTGGTTTCACCTTCATTTTAAAAAGATATTTCTGTTGGGTACAAAATTCTAGTTGGACAATTTTTCTTTCAATAGTTTAAAAATGTTCTTCCACTGTCTTCTAGTTTGTGGAGAAGCCCAATTTATTCCTATATTTGTACCTCAATATATTAATGTCTTTCCCCCATCCAGATGTTTTTAAGAATTCCAATTATGATGTACCTTGTACAATCTTCTTTATATTTCTTGTGCTTGAAATTCATTAAGTTTCTTGGATCTGTGGATTTATACTGTTCACCAAATTAGGAACATTTTTGGCTTATTCAAACATTATTTCTGCACCACACATTTTCCCCTCCTTCTGGGAGTTTTATTTCATCTGAGTGAGGCAACATGGAGTTGGCCAGCCTGTCACTAATTCTCTGTGAACAATTTTTGATCTTTTCATTCTTTTGTTTCATTTTGGATAGTGTATCTTAGCATATAGTAATGTGTTTTTTTTTGCAGTATCAATTCCACTATTAAGCCCATCCAGTGTATTTTCATCTTAGATGTTATGTTTTTGATTTTTAGAAGTTTAAGTTAGGTCTTTTTGATATTTCCATTTACTTCTTAATATGCCTGTACTTTCCTCTACCTTCTTGAGCACATGGAGTGTATTTTAAATAATAATTTAATGTCTTTGTCTATAAATTCTATCCTAAGTGCCATTGCTGAGTCAGTTTCTATTGATTAATACTTT